GTCCTACGAGATCTACAAAGGGCTAAGTCGCTTCTGATTAAATTCCACAAAATTTATCGGATTTTAAGTATTTTTTCGCTTATTGAGTTTTTAATACTCACTTCAATTCGTCATATACAAGCCGACGTATTTGTTATAACATCGAAAGCGAAATTATACCTACTATATTATGTCGAAGTTTATGGAATCTCAGCAAGCTAACGGTAATAGTACGGCCAACGACGGCACCTCGTTGGAAGACAAGTCTGGTGAGACGTCCTTCGCACCAAGAACCTGTGCTCGCTCTACCTGCGCTTCCAGCCAACGACCAGCAAAGCGTGCAAAATGCGTAATTACCGCAAAAAGTGTGAGGTACGAAGATGAGCCTTGTGTTGGGTGCGCAGACATCCAAATCAAAGTAGGACAACTCGAAAAGGAGCCTACTGATTTAAGGACGCTCGTGAAACAGATCCTAGACGACCAGAACGTTTCCAGGGTTAGAGTCCCAAAAACCAAAAGCAAAGCGCAAAAAACGCGAAAAAATATCCCTCGGGGACATCTTCAATCACGAGTAGCAACCCAGTAGCGAAAACCGCAGACGCCAGTAACAGCAGGACAACGAGAACGAAGCCGCCGGTGAGGGCAGTCTCGATTCCCACGCAAGATGTCTTAAGCGATGTCACACAAAAATTACCTGGCGCAGAAGCTATCTCGCCTAAGCCTCTTGCTGTAAGTGACGGGAATTCTCTTCTGCCTGGAGACGATATACCTGGGTCATCCAGTCCACTGTTGCACTCTTGTTCTGGCAACCACCCCAAGCGCACTACAGAACACGGACCTGAATGCGAAGACACGAACCCGTGGGTAGATGGGAGAGGGAAACGCCATGACAGGAGTCTGTAGTTACAGCCAGACCTGATGGGTTGCTCGGGACAGTCGGTAGAGAACAAAAGTATGCATCCAATTAACGGCTCTGCAAATCGTCGTCACCCACATGCAGCGAATTCACCGGAAAGGCAAAGTAAGGAGGACCATGCTCGCCAGCAGTGTCTGGTTATTCAGGGTTTGTCGGAATCGAATGCAGTCAGACCTGAAGACCGTGTCTCGGAGGACCTTGCTTCTTTTCCAGGCAGACATTGAAATAAAGGTTCTGAAGGCATTCCGGATAGGAAAACGGAGTGAAGACAGGACAGCAGCACAACCACCGCGCCTTCTCAAAATTATGCTGGAGAACAAAGAGCAAATGAAGTTGATCCTCTTTAAAAAAAACCGACCTCAGAAACACACACAAACAGTTTTTTCTTCAACCGGACTATTCACCAGCGGAACGGCTGAAACGCCGGGAACTTGTCTTGGAGTTAAAATCAAGACTGAAGGGTGGCGAACACAATCTGGCTATCTTCAAGGGGAAGGTAGTTCGGAAATATATGCCGTTTCAGTGGAACCAGCCTGTAATACTAAGAACGACGGCAGCTACTCAGCTAACACAGATACCTTCGTTGAACCACCTGCTCAAGGCGCCAACACAAGTAAGCGCGTAATGTCCAGTGATCTGATTGAAGCAACGCATATAAATGGAACCTATCAGCCCAGAGAACATGGCGTTCAAGATAACGGAGTAATGCTCAAAACTGTAACAAATGCAACGGGAAATTCGGCTGGTGCAAAACTCAGGTGCTTGTACACGAATGCCCAAAGCCTCATATCGAAACTGGATGAGCTAAAACTTTGTCTTGCCGAGCTGTCTCCAGATGTTCTAGCAGTGACCGAGACCTGGCTGTCCGGGAATATTAGCGATAACGAAGTAGCCTTGCCTGCATACCAGATTTATCGGAGGGACAGGGAACATCGTCAGGGTGGTGGTATAGTTGTGTATGTAAATGAAGGCCTGGCAGTGTCGGAAAACACCACCAAGTTTGCGTGCGACACGGAAGCTATTTGGTTGACCATCAAGGCTGCCGGTTCCCCGTGTCTCGATGTCCTCACTGTCTACCGACCACCTAGGACAGACCATATCGCCACCACTCAACTATTGGAGCTTTCTGTGCCTTTGTCGATGCTCTTTCAAACGTCATTTGACACTGGAACACTTCCTATCGATTGGAAGCTGGCGCATATTACTCCGCTACACAAAGGAGGTAACAGGGCAGCGACGACAAATTACAGGCCCATAAGCTTGACATGCATTCTCTGCAAAGTGATGGAGAGGATCATAAAGAGTGAACTGATACGATTCCTGGAAGTTCACGGCCTACTATCGAAATGCCAACATGGGTCCCGGAAGGGAAGATCCTGCAGGAAAAACTTGCTGCAATCTCTCCAGAGCCGTACACAAACTCTCGACGACAGGCACGAGGTCCACATAGCCTTCATCGACTTCCAGAAGGCGTTCGACACTGTGCCACACCAGAGGCTCTTACATAAACTTAAAAAAATAGGGATCAGTGGTAACTTCCATAAATGGATCGAAAACTTCCTTTTGGCACGACACCAGGTTGTCTCCATCGGTCCGGGAAAATCAGACCCTGCTATGGTCGAGATTGGTGTCCCCCAGGGTTCAGTACTGGGACCCATTTTGTTCCTTATCTACGTGGACGATGCTGCAAGAGCTTTAGAATGCGAAATAGCAATGTTTTGCTGACGACATGAAGATATGGAGTGTAATTCGGAGTCCTGCCGACGAAGACAGACTGCAGATGAACCTGAATCGGTTGGAGGAGTGGTCAAGCCGTTGGCTTCTGCGATTCAACGTTGCCAAATGTAGCATACTTCACCTAGGCCACACAGCCAGATCCGCCAGCACAAGAAACTACTTTCTGGGCGGTGCAGCCTTAAAAGAGGTCGAAGCCCAAAAAGACCTCGGTATGCTGACGACCAGTTCCCCAAAAGCCATCCGCCCACTGTTCGAGAGTGGCAAAAACCGTAATGTCCGTACTGTACTCCAGCAAGCGTGCGTTAATGGACTTTGACGAAGATGCTTTCTCAAAGACATTCGGAACATTCGTCCGGCCGCATTTAGAGTACGGCATACAAGCTTGGAGGCCGTGGGCTGTTGAGGATCGAAACTGCCTCGAAAGGGTCCAGAGGAGAACCACGAAGATGGTTAGGGGTCAAAGCTCCTTTCCTTATTCAACTGGCCCAGTAAATCTGAACCTCTTTCCTTTGAGTTACAGGCAACTTCGCGGGGATCTCTTGCAAGCCTTCCGCATTGTTAAGGGGTTGGATTGCAGTCTGGCCTTCGAGGACTTGTTTGAATTTTCTACCTCGACCAACCTCTGAGGTCACCCGTTAAAACTGCGCACTCAGCATGCAAGGTTGGATGTACGGAAGTTCTCCTTCTCTGTTCGAGTGGTCAAACCATGGAATGCCCTTCCCGTAGATGTTGTGATGTCACCATCCATACAAAATTTTAAAAGTTCTGGGCCCGCTATGTCGATGACACCTTCGTAGTTGTCAAAACAACTGACATTGAACATCTAAAAGAACTACTGAACTCGGTTGACCCGGATATCCAATTTACGATGGAAGCAGAAACAAACAACCAACTGCCTTTCCTTGACGTACTTGTGCGTCGGTGTACCACTGGACAGCTGCAAACTGCAGTATTCCGAAAATCCACCGACACGAGACAGATCCTACACTTCAACAGCAACCATCCTCTGTCTCACAAACGTAGTTGTGTCCGCACTCTATTCCAAAGAGTCGAAACACACTGCAGCACACCAGAAGATAAAAGGGCCGAACGATTGTACCTTGTGAACCTATTTGCAACCTATGGTTATTCCAGACATTTCATCGAGAGAAGCAGACGTTGGGCGCCCAGAGAACGGCCAAGTGAGCAGCAACCCGAAGTCTGGAGGGCCATTCCTTACGATAATGGGGTCTCTGAAGCGGTCTCGCGACTGTTACATCCCACCAGAGTAGGCATAGACCATCGACCACAAGCAACAATTCGATGTCCCCTAATGCAGCCTAAGGACCCATTGCCACCCGCTGAAAACTCGGCAGTCATCTACAAAATAAATTGCGATGAGGGCGACTACAACTATGTGGGCGGAACCGGGCGGAAGTTGCAAACTCGCCTACAGGAACACGAAGCGGCCACTCGGAGGTAAGACCCTAACTCTCAACTAGCAACACACGTTGGAGAAACGGGGCATACTTTTGACCTTCAGAGGGCTACCATCTTAGGCCGTGGCAACACAAAAACAGAACCTCTAACTCTCGAGGCATGGTTCACCGATGCCCACTCTATCAACAGGCATCTGGACCTTCCTGCAGCTTACAAAGTCCTACGTCATCACAATCGTAAGGCTCAGCACCAAACAACCACACCGGACTTAAGAAGGCCGCACGGAGATAGCCCGACGCTGAGTATACTCGGTGAGGAAAAAGAAGAACCGCCAGACCAACCGCCCGACTAAAGTCCAATCAGTTCCCCACGACGGAGTGGTGACTCACAAAGCACACAGGCAAAACCTTACTCCCCCTCCCCATTCCCATGCTTCAACCAATGTCCGAGCCGGTCAGTTGGCTGGAGCGGGATGTAGGCGCGGTGGCTGATATTGTCAAGTGAAGTTGTCAGCGTACGCCAAACACACGACCCGTCCTCCCAAACAAATCACCAGGATTTCACAAAATGGGGGTTTGGCGGAGTACATCACACATGCGTGAGAGTGCCGTTGGTCACGTTTGGAAGGAGCCGCTTCAGCTTGACTCTCAGCCCACCAGGCCGCCACTCCACACATACACACCCACACAACAGGGCGAACTGCGTGGACTGAGTTGGGGCGGCATTCAACAGCCCACCTGGTCACGGCGCATGGCATCCTGTGATAGTCTCAGACTCAAGTCACGCGTGCAACTGGGGAACCCCATGATGGGCAAATCAAGACGCACACCTGCTATTTGCGCAGAAGGTGGCATTTGGGTGCTCGTGGTGGGTGATATTGATCTGCGATGAGGTGATGGTGGGGGGGGGGGATGTGGTGGTATGATGGTACGGTGCAGTCGGCGGTTGTCTACCGCAGGTTTTGAGGGACGCGTATGTGGCCGAATAGGCCCATGCAGGGCATGAATGTGCGAGTGCAATGTGGACAGCGAGGGCGGATGCGGCGAGTGTAGGTTGGTGCTCCAGACACTGGTTCGCTAGTCTCTGTGCGATGGATTCGCAGGTGACCGGTCAGATCGACGTGTGAGGTGGAGGTGCGGTCGCAATAAGGACAGGTATAGACCAGGTCCTCACCAATGTTGTCGACGGTGGTAGTGCTGGTGTTTGTTGGTGTGTCAGGATTGTGGGGCATGCTGATGTGCGTGCCAGACGCCACGACGGCGGATGCGGAGGCAGTGAGGGGACAGGAGATGGAGGAGGAGGAGGAGGAGGAGGAAGAGGAGGAGGAGGAGGAGGAGGAGGAGGAGGAAGAGGAGGAAGAGGAGGAGGAGTACGAAAGTGGTGGTTCGAGAGGGTGGTCAGAGTTAGTTGACGACGTAGGGGGAGAGGGAGAGGTGGGCGGTTGGTGTAGCCGAAGGGCCGCAGTTGGTCCAAAGATGATCAACAACTTAAATTGGAGCCAAGTATGTCCGCTAACACCGTGGACACGTTGGGGGCGGTTGGGCGTTGGCGTTGTGAGGTGGGTACAGATGAGATTTGCATGCTTCTCGTTTGGCTTCTGCGGCGATGATGCGGTTGGTTTCGAAGATCGCTGCGCCCGTCTTCAATGTTCTCCTCTGGGTCGATCGGTCTCCAGCGAGGTCTTCCCAGTCAGCCGGGTTGATCTGCAGACGTTTCAGGGAGGTCTTCAGAGTAATAGTAGTAATACTTTTATTTAATGCTAATTTGCAGGCATTGTCAGGGAAAAAGTAAACACAAATCCGGCCAGCAGGAAAAAAACTCCTGACACAAAAAATAAAAAAAGTTATGAGGACTTTGTATGATGTGGAGAGGTTAGGAGAAAAAACTGCTGCCCATAAAATGACGACAGTCGAGAAAGGGAGGAGTATCACTGCATCTGATATTATCAGTCGTCATTTATTTTTATGAAGTTGGGGCTGGACCAAACTGAAGCACCGGAGAACAGCTATCACAGAATTCGTTCCCTCCTATAGGCAACTAAACTGCAGTCTACTCTGGACATTTTGGATTGTCCATGACCACGTATGCTCACAAAGAAGGGAGAACTTTCTGAGTTTGCCCGAAAAAACCAATTACCTCTCATCAAGGTCAAGTCGCTGGTTTTAAATTTGAAGATAAGTGGAGGATATTATTTTTAGTGGTTTTTCTGTGAGATCTAACGATTTTAGTACCTGTTTTTTGGTTGAATTTCCTTAAATACAGGCCTTTTCTCTAAGAACTGCCCGTTGCCATCTCCTTTCGAGTTTTGCTAGTCTATGCCCGTTGTTCACTAATCGCACTCTGCAATTCTCATTTTGTGCATCCGATTTCTCTCTAACTGTTGTAATTTATTTTTACATCGTTAGCCCCTAGCTGAAATTCAGTCAACTTGTCTGCCAGAAGTTTTCTTAATCGCAAATTGCCTCGAGACAAGATGAGACCAAAAGTCACTGGTCGACGTAAGCTCTCGGCTCTTGTAAGTAAACATGGCCTAACTAAACGTAAGTCAGAAGCTTTACCTAAATCTAAGTCAGATGATATTACTAGTCAGTCGTCACCCGTTGTAATTGGTCGGCAGCTTAATCTGTCTGCACTTGACCACTGCAATGACTTTATGCTAAAGTTTGGCTCTTTGCTGACAATTCTTGGACATTTATTCGACGGGAACATCTCCGATATTCCCTCTGAAGAATGTAGGCGTCTCGACTCACTTGTTCACCTGATCGCCAGTGAATCTAGTGATAGACAGAAGCGTTCTTACAACTTCCTGCTAAAAAATGTTCCTCGATCTGCTTGGCCAATTGATGTTGCGACCAATTTCCTGTATTCATGTGGTTTCAACTATAAAATAGCTGATGCCAAACGCTTGTCCTCCCGTACTACAAATCCACCCATCTTAGTCAAATTGTTTTCATCAATCGAAGTTGACACTATCTTTACTCATCGAGAGCGTGTCACTGCGTACCTAGAGAAGGCAAAATTTTTCCTTTGTCATGATCTTACTCCTATGGAGCGTAGAATCGGGTCTCTATTCTCACGTAAACCTACTGCTTCTCAGTCTAATGCCCCCCCAACACGGTCTTAATACAAGTGGCCGTAAGGATTCAGCTTCTCCTACTCCTGCGACATCTGACTCCCTCCTTCCTCTTTCTCCTACATCTCCATCTCACTCAAGCCACTTGACGCATTTGCCTGCTCCTAAACTTGCAGCAGCAGCAGCGGCCCCATTTGTCGTTTCGTATCCTCTGGATAGTCCCGCTGAGACACATGAAAATCCGTCTACATCAGCTAGACCGATAACTTCTATTGTCCAACTGGGTGCTGTAAGGTCTACAGCTAAGTCACCAGTGGCTTGGCGTCAGAACGGTGAGACTCGAAAATTGAATCAGACTCCGACCCAAAAGATAGGTAGTACAGTTCCATTTAGGGGTACGACGCCTTCTCTTAGATCTAACAAGTCTGTTCAGCCCAGCACGTCTACAAACCCCGCAGCTCCAATTATATCCCAGAATAATTCTCTGTCCTGCGTACCGGTTACTTATCAAAGCCCTACTATATATCCAGCAAATAATTCATACATGAATTGCCCTAAGTCATTTATGCCCCAACGTAGTTCAGGCTTCCCACCACTTAAGGCCAATTGCTCTCAGGTACGTCAACCTATCTCCTTTGACTTCCAATCTAGACCTGGTTTCCCACCATTTCATTCTTTTAGTGGCCTACCCTCACCCATTAGCCCCTACTTTCCTTCTAGCCTCCCCCCTCCTCCTCCCCTTCCTCCATTATTTAACTACCAACAAGTCTATCCATGTTCTAACTCCCCTAGCATTCCAATGTTTGAAAACTATATCCCCGCCTCCTTTAGGTCTCATACTCAGCCTTCTCTTGCTGACTCCCCATACGTCAATAACTCTAAATTAACTGGTACTTATTCTCCAAGTGTCATTAATTCGCAGCTTACATATCCGCCTCCAAATTTTTTTTTAAATACCGTCGAAAATAGCACTGCCGTTCGAAACACATAGGATATTATATTATTGAATGTCAGGTCTGTTATAAACAAGATGGCTCAAATCAGAGCCATTGCTCTGGAAATGACGCCTGATATTATATGTGTAACAGAATCTTGGACACATTCTCTAATTCCTGACTCTGCCCTTCTCATAGATGACTTCGATTTTTACCGCCAAGACCGCACGAATAGGCGTGGGGGTGGTTGTCTTCTTTATCTTAAATCCTACCTAAAGAACTCTCCCTATTACTTGGATGTTTCCTCATTCACGGGAAACTTCTGCTTTGCATCTGTTATTCTCTCGCCGCAAAGAAAGGCAATTATTGGCTGTATCTACAATCCCCCAAATTCTTTAGCCAGTGATGATTCACAACTCTGTGAAATCTTTAAATTAATTTCGGGAGCTGCTTTCGATGTTAAAATAATCACTGGGGATTTTAAACTTCCTGAAATTGACTGGGTTTCCAATAGCTGCCCACCCAGATTCCAGTCCTTTCAAGATATTATCAATTTTTCAAATTGGTCCCAACTGGTGCGCTCTCCAACAAGAGATCATCACATTTTAGATCTAATCTTTACCAATGACATTGCTCCTCTTTCTGTTGCTTTAAAAAAGGACCTCTTTGACAGTGACCACGTATTAATTCATTGTTGCCTACCGCTTGCCTTTTCAAAAAAGACAAGCGCCGTTCAGACTTTCATGAACTACGACTGCGTAGATAGCGACTCAATAAATAACTATATGAGATTCTTTGGATTGGTGTGGCTTCCTCACTTGTAGCGATGTAACCATTCTTCGTGATGTCATGTCCAATGTTTCCAAGGACATTCTAGAGTTTCTGCCGCGTAGATATCTCAAGCCTAATTCTTCAGATTCTCTTGTTCCTCATTTTCTTCAGAACAGACTAAAAAAATTGAGGCGACAACTGCGTGACCTATCCACTAGTTCCTTATCTGTTCATCTTAGAATCACAGAGATATTTGAGATGGCCTCAAGGATGCGCCAAGCGCGCGACAGGCAAAGAGAATCAATTGCTCTCAGTGGTTCGAACCCTGGTAAATCCGTCGCTAGCATCTTCCGTCATCGGTCCTACTCTAAGCGTGGTCATGAACTTCCACCCATGCTAAATGATAAAAAAGTCTTCCTCACCGATGACACTGACAAGGCGGAGTTGTTTAGTGCTTTCTTTGCAAAACACCTTGCTACCGAGTCCGATCCGGTCCCTTTCTTTCGATCACATTCAGATAGGACACTTAGTACAATTGATGTCTCCTCAGATCTCATTAAGAAACACATAAGCCGTTTGAAATACTCCCACTGCTCAGGAACGGACGGGATTCCGAATTCGATTATTAAACAAGCGTCCGACTTTCCCATATTGCTCAGTCATTTATTCTCGGTTTATATTTCAAAAGGATTCTTTCCTGAAACATGGAAAACGTCAATTATCATTCCCGTTTTCAAGTCAGGATCTCGATCCGATCGGCTTCTGAGCTCTAGTCAGCATGGGTTTTTAGCTGAACGATCCTGCGAAACATGCCACTTGGCTTTTCTTAATATAATCACTTCTCTTCGTAATGAGCGGCAGTCAGTGGTAGTTATTTACTTTGATCTTAGCAAAGCCTTTGACAAGGTGCCCCATAGACGTCTTTTAGTAAAATTGGAAGCCCTCGGCATCCGGCCGCCTCTACTTGACTTCATTAGGTCCTATCTGTCCAACCGATATCAGAAAGTCATGGTCGGTAATAGCTACTCGACACCTCACTCGATCACGAGTGGCGTACTTCAAGGCACGGTCCTGGGTCCGCTACTCTTGCTTCGCAAACTTTTACTTATGCCGATGACCTCAAGTGTGTTTACTCATACTCTAAGGACACCGCAAATGTTAGTGTTGAAAAAATTAATGCCGATTTACTACGCTTAAGCAGATGTGGTTCGACATGGCAGATGGAGTTTTCATCATCCAAGTGTAGTTTCATGTCTTTTGGTCCTACCAAACTTCCTGGTCCCATAATTTTTCAGAATAACCCACTCTCAGAATGTCTCACCATAAAGGACCTAGGTCTAAGTTATACAAATAAACTTGCTTTATCACCTCATGCAGATAGAATCTCTGCCAAAGCCGCGCAGATATGTGGATTCATATCGCATAATTTTTTCCTTCCGGAAATGAAGCTAAGACTTTATCAAATGTTTGTTCTTCCAGTCCTTGAATACTGCTGTCCTTTCTTCGGATTAATGAACGCCTGCGACCGTAATAAAATCGAAAATGTTCAGAGGGTTTTCACCCGGAAACTGCTCTCTCAAGCTTCGTCCAGTAGTTCTTATACTCAGAGATGTCAGCTGGCGAACATGAAGTTTTTGTGGGTTAGAAGACTCGAAGCTGGCCTTTGCTTCCTTTTTCGCATCACCTCTAGCTCCAGTCTTCCGCACATTGACACTCTCACTCCGAGAGATCGGTCTTATGCCACGCGCAACTCCTGCATGGTGCTTCCGCCGCCTCTTTGTA